TGGAGTTCAGTTGCAGCCTTGGCTTTCCTGGTTTGCTCCCTGCAGGACCGGACCAGTGCAGGATAATCCTCCTTGGAGGTGAATCCTATCCTCCATCCTTTGTAGGCCTTTCTTTTTAGCCTCAGGAGGTCTGCTAGGTCCCTGGAGAGCCAGGGGGGGCTGCTGTGTCCTCTTGCTGCCTTTCCTCTGAGATGGAATAGACTTAGCTTGTGCACTGAGGATCGCTCCCTTGAGGAGCAACCACTTTTCTTGAACTACCCTTTCCCTGGGGTCATGGTCCCTTAGGGCCTCACTGACAAGCCTCCTCAGCTTGTCAAAGTTGGCTTTCCTGAAGTCAAGGACTTCTGTGTTGCTGACTGACTTGCCAGCTTTATGGTGGATGGTGAAGGTGATCAGCTCAGGGTCACTGTCACCCAGCTTCCTATCGATCACTAGGTTGCCGATTAGGTCATCCCCAGTACCAGTACCAGGTCGAGCAGCGCTTTGCCTCTCATTGGCCCATAGACTTCTTGAGTCAGGTAGAGATCATCCATGCACGAGAGGAAGCTTTGCGACCGCTCGGATTTTGCTGAGTGATCTTCCCATGAGATGTCTGGGTAATTAATGTAAACTGCTTCTGAAGTGCCTTAAACTGAAGTGGGAAAAGGGACTCTGATTCTGGGATAAGGCAGCACACACTGGGCATTATACTTGCAGATTGATACGGGTTTATTTAAAGCAGGGGTGTTCAACTCATTTGGCTCAGCAGACCAGGTGCAAACTGTGGGGCTTCTTGTGAGCTGGATAACCCGCCTCTGGCAGTGGGGCAGCAGCTGGTTGGTTTGAGTGCTGGAGCCACTGCACTGGCATGGCCCTAGAGCCCAGGGGATGAACACTGCTGCCAGTTGTCCCCACTTTTTCTCTGCTGCTGATTTTAGTCACCAATGACAACCAAAGACCCTGAATTCAGCTGGCGGGGGGGAAAGTAGTGGTGGGATTCATTCCCTGGGTCATGGAGTCGTGCCAACACAGTGATTCCAGCAAACATGCCAACAGCCCCTCAGGACAGCCTGGGCTTAAGGCATAGACCTATAAATAATTCACTGCAAGGAAAAGAAAGTGAGACTTTATAGCATATCAGCTACTCCATGGTAACTGCCCATGTGCACACCCTTTGATAAGTGGTTGATAAAGCTCATTGACTTGTCCTTTTCAATGAGGGCTAAGCTACTGTGAGTTTGCTTCCATTTTCTGTGAGGTGAGAATAAGTAAATAGGCAATTTCTACAGAACGGCTAATGGTAAGTAAAGCCCCATCCCTTTGTACCAGTGTCAATGGTTAACTATTTGTATGCCCATCCCCTCATAATGGTAAACTCGTGGTGGTAAATTCCTCCATGTAGACAAGTCCTGATTGTCTGCAGAGGGCTTTGAGAAGGGAAATGCCATTGTAAGTTCTTCAGTCACCCAGAAAAACCCTTCCTCCTGGCTTAAGAATATCTTGAAACACTCCCTAAACATCCTTCCACCCGATGCTCCGTCCATACCCTAGAAATGTATTACTGCTACAGCTTCTTCCCTAGATTTTTGTAATTGGTTCCTCTAGTACAGAAGGGGGAGGGGGGGAACCTGCAGCAGAGGTGCCACAAGTGGCATGGGGAGCCTCTGTATATGGTACAGGGAGGGGACAGACAGCTGCAGGTAGGGCAGGAAGCAGAAAGCAGAGCAGACAAGAAGCACAGAGCAGGGAGCAGAAAGCAGAGCAGCAGATTGGGCAGAGAAAGGGACTAGAATGACACTTGGGAAGGCCACTCCTGCCAAAAAGGTTGACTTCCCTTGTTCTACGCCTGCAGTCTTGGCTGTCTGTTCCTCCAAAGGCAGTGCATGTCATACACCAAACGGCAGTCACACCACAGGATTGTCCAGCTGCTTCTCTGGATTTCTGGCTGCTGGCAGGTGCATTAGGGGGGAGCAAGTGAAGACATGGGAGGGACTGACTGAAAGGGATAATTTATCACGTATCATTTTGACTGCAGTAGCATCCCAAATGTGCCAAGTGGTTTCTGATCAAAGACAGTCACTGTTCTCATACTGAAAAACTGACTACAAAAAGTTGGGGGGAAAGGGTCAATGTGTAGGATCAGAGTGAAAATAGCCCTATGTCTCACTAGGTCATGTCTGCATTGTTTTCCTAAGTTTAAAACATTGTATTTCCTCACTTCAGCTTCTTTCCAGTTTCAGGCTTGGTGCCGTCCCTCACAACTAATTTCCAACTTGAGTTCCAGTGTTCTCACACCCACTCTGTCCCAGCACTAGCCCACTCCCTCTGAAGATATGAGCTACTCATTAATTGATGGAGATAAGTAAATGATTGATGACCCCAAGCAGAATCTGCTATAACCCAATAAGGAGAAAGAACCTCAGACTCCATGAAGCCCATTTGGGAGAGATTTTGCTGTTGTCTATCTATTTTACAGAAGACCCTACGAGACAGGGAAGGGGCAGGAAGAGAGAGATGGAGTCACTAAATTTCTTTGTAGGCACTTCCAAGTATGTGGGTCTTCAGAAGAAATGTAAACAAGAAGGAGCTGGCCTTGTGAATCAGCTTGGAGAAGGTCTGCCTTGTAGACAGGCATGTAGAAGAAAGCATGGAGATGTATGTGAGAGAAGCAGACAAATGGGTCCTACCAGTGGGAGTGATGGAGCCAGGGGAGACATGAAAAGAGGCAAAAATAGATAAGCAGAGTGTGACTAGACTGCCTGGGGCCTTGATGGCAATTGAAAAAAGCTTAAATTCAGTATGGTAGCAAAGGGAAAGTGTTCAAAGGGGAGCTGAAGGTCAGAGTGGCTCTGTTTAGGGTGGTCTGAGAGACTACAGTGCACGTACCAGGCTGGCTAAGAAGAGAGAGGTTGCAGTTATCAAGATAGAAAACAAGGGCACGTACAGAAGTTGTGCCTCAGCGTACAGAAAGACAAACTCAGCTATTACACACATATGGAAAAAACCCAGCAAGTTTGGGGTTCTGCCTGGATTAATGAGGTGAGACACAGAAGGGATGAATTAATAATAACACTTTGATCTCCTGGTTTCAAGTTTGTCTAAGGCTTCAAAAGCTGAGTGAGGTGCTATCATTTATATTTGTTGCCAGATTTCCAAACCCAGTTGGGATGCTTTGGATGTACAGATGCAATATTAAATTCTGAACATGCCTTCCAGTCAACTGCAGTGTTTCAGAGAACACTCTAAGCACCAGTGAGCAGAAATCACTGTTGGTGAAAACTGGAAAAGTTGAAAGGGGAAAATGAGGGACACATTTGCTAAGTAGATACTACTAGCTTCAACTGCCAGTGTAATTGTTGGTCAATGGTAGCCACTGATACATTCCAGCCTCTGAGAACCTCAACCATAGGACCTCATAGGCTGTGATGGTGAAGAACAGTAAGTCAGAAACCTCAGATAGGTGCCAGTCCATAAAGGGCCCTAATGATAAAATTATGTCCAGCAAATGAATATTTAATACTACCCTCAACCTTACTGACCACTAATATAGAAGGACAGAGGGAATTTATAGAGATGTCTCTTGAATAACAATTCCTTCCGCTGTCTTCTGTATAGGGCCAGCAGACACCAGGACTGACGCAGCTATGTCTGACCTGGTGCCGGAGCCCCGGCAAAAACCAGTAGTGCCGATGAAACCTGTTAGCATTAATTCCAACCTGCTGGGCTACATTGGGATTGACACCATCATTGAGCAAATGCGCAAGAAGACCATGAAGACAGGATTTGACTTCAACATCATGGTTGTAGGTAGGAAGGGTTATGGAGGCTTATAAAGGTCTGTGGGGGAGTGTAAGCAATGCTTCACCCTGGCTTGGAGGGCAATCCCAAAGGTACAGGCTGGAGAGATGATCAGACACAGGGTGTTTTTGTGGATAGGGGTGAAGAAGAGATGCTTTAACATGAGACCAAGCCTAGTTCAAGTCAATCTCTAGTTCACTTTCAGTAATTCTCTTTAACATACATGTTTAGAGGGAAAAGATCTTACCGCACTGAACTGACATCTTCCATGGGGTTAAGTTCCTAGGCCTATTGTTATCATCACACAGCTGTGATATATGCAAGATCACTTGTTCTTGGGTCACCTTTTTAGACCCAAGACACCCCTCATTAGACTCAAGCCCCCCTTGGAAACTGCCAGCTCAGTTTTCAGTCATTTTTTGACTACGGAAAAATAATAGAGCAATTTTTCTGTTGCAAAGAACTCAGAAAGACTAAAAGAGGTCAGAATTGTTTTAACACTATGGATTCCTACTAGAAAACTCAAGGCACGCAGGGTGCTATGGTACTGTAGTTGAGAATCACTGTGCTAGGTGCTTCCTGTTTCCCTTTACCAGGTCAAAGTGGGCTGGGGAAATCAACACTGGTGAACACTCTCTTCAAATCCCAGGTGAGCCGCAAGTCTTCAGGCTGGAACCGCGAGGAGAAGATCCCTAAGACAGTGGAGATTAAAGCTATAGGGCATGGTAAGAGCCAGGAGATCTACTGTGAAGGTGACCAGTAGCAACCACAAAAGGATAGATGTGGTCTTTGCAACGTCTTGCAGAAGATCCCTACATTATGCATTTCTTGCTGTAAACCCTCCCCTTTCCAATGCAAGCCTGTCAGCTCTAGAGGATAGCTCTTCAGAACTGGTGAGGTTCTGGGGACTGCATTGCTTAGAGCATGAGATTAGAGAAAGGCATAGACCTTGCCACTTGTAAATCATCCGTTCAATTGTGTAGCTGTGTTGAAACATGGCCCCAAGATCATCTGGGATGAAAGTCGTTTCCATCTCTCGCTGTTTGGTGGCCTCTATGAACTAAGATGGCCAGTCTCAGCCAAGTACCTAGTGAGAGCACTCTCGTAATCCCAAGTGGCACTAACTGGCTGCAGCCTCAGCAACAGGAATAGGCTGACAGGGCTACTGGGGTGTGGACAGCCTCCTTTCAGACTTAGGCTGTAGATAAACAGAAAACTTCAGCAATACTGAGGCAGATTCTCATCAAGGTCGGCTTAGGCATTAAAGTGAGAGCAAATGTAATTTACTCCTACTTTACTTCAGGGCCCCTTTACACTGCCAGAGTACTGTAAAGAGGCCTTAGCCTGTATTCTTGTAGTGAGTACCATAGAGCTGCACGCTGAGAGCAGATCCTGAGGAAGGGGGATATTGACATCATTTTTGCTTCCTTTCTTCAGTCATCGAAGAAGGTGGTGTCAAGATGAAGCTGACAGTAATTGATACCCCAGGATTTGGTGACCAGATCAACAATGAGAACTGGTGAGTGTTTCTGCATCCACCTCCTTCCTTCTATATTCTGTCCCCAGCTTTGTCTCTGGGGTGACTGCCAGGCCCTGGGGATGGGGACAAGGGGAAAGCCAGCACTGGAGCATCTATGCTTCAGGACAGACCCACAGAACACAGTGAAGAGGAGAGTATGGGCATGTCTACACCATGTCTCTGGTGTGTCCAGGCAGGGGTGATGGATCTTGGCGCTACCTCCAAGATCTCTTTCCAAAGTGCTTAAGAATGGCTCCAAGAACACCCCCAAAGCCACTTTATTGATATGTATCCAGCTTTGGCACCTGTGAGTCGGAGTGGTTGGGTGAATGTTCTTCTGGATTTCTTCCCAGATACACTGTGGATAGAGGGTAAATAGACCCTACAAGTGCCCATGCTGCAGATAGGTCAGCACTGCAAAAGATGAGGCTAGTGTTCTTCCTTATTTAGTCCTAAACTAATGCCTCAGCATGGTGCCAGAGGGATTTAGGATCAAAGTTGCTGCTTGTACACAACATACAAGTCCAGTCCATGGCCCTCACCTGCTTGTAGTCATTAAAGATCTCACAGTAAATTGGGTTGATATAGAGGTGTCAACACTGTCATCCCTGCCAAATTCCAGTCTGGCTACCTTTGTTCTGGCCCCTGAAAAGGCAGCCTGGGGTTTCAAATGGACGTGGAATTCTTCTTCAGTTTCTTCTTATGGCCTGAGCCAGAGCCCACTGAAGTCAATGGAAAGCTGTTGTATGACATTACTGGGAATAGTTAAACAGCCAATGTGTTGTTCTCCAGAGAAGGCTGTACTTCACTGTTAGGTAGAATATGTAGTTTGTTAAGAGTTTGGTAATCTACTAAAGCAGTGGTACCTGGCCTCTTGGTCCTGTAGGCCAGATAAGTGGCATGGGACTGGACCCCAGGCTGGAGTCAGCATGTGGGGTCAGTCCATGGGCCTGATCCCATGTCAGCCTGATTCAGCCATGCACCCAGATCAGGCTGCATGCCAGCCTAAACCTGTGCGGCTGGATCAGGCTGTGCAGCAGTGCAATCTGGCATGCAGGGCCATGTTATCTGGCCTGCAAGGCTCCCCACAGGTCCAGAAATCTGGCATCAGAGGAGTAGCAATTAACAATGCCACTGCTCCCTCCCACCGAACTTCCAGAACCTTGAGGAACCCTGTGAGGTGGATGACAGCACCGCGGGCTGGATCTGTGAGCACAGTTTATTGGAGGAAAAGGAAAAGGGCCAGGAAATTGAATATTACTACAGTTATTGTTTGTTTAATTGGTTTGAATGTATGTGGCAATTGGTATGTAACAAACCAATTGTTTGTTTAATTGTTTTGAATGTAGCACAGTTGGTACAACCCATTTCTAACAAATTAGGTAATCCAAAATCTTTCCTGGGCTAAGAGTTCAGAGGCCACCCTTACAGCCCTCCCGCTGTCTAAAGATCAGAAGATTCAGGCTATTTCAGACCAAAGTGGAGCAAAATCCAAAGACCAAGAGCTCTCTCAGAGAACACCCTCCCAGCAGCCCCTCACCCTGATTACCATAGAGGCTTTGGCTTGAGCACATCTGCTGATCTCAGATGTGGTGCAGACAAGAGTGAATGCACAAATGCTTAAACACAGATGTCAGTAGCACTGGAAGGATCTGTTCCAGCTAATGGAGATGTCTTTCCTATCCAAAGCCTTCCTTCTCCTGTTGGTGCCAGCAACATTGCATATGTGATGCTGAGAAGGTAATGTGCTTCTCTCTCCCTCTTTCTGCTGCTCACAGTTGGGAGCCAATTGAGAAATACATCAATGAGCAATATGAAAAGTTTCTGAAGGAGGAAGTGAATATTGCGAGGAAGAAACGAATCCCAGACACAAGAGTCCACTGCTGCCTCTACTTCATTTCTCCCACAGGTCACTCGTATGTATCTCAGTGATGCCTCCCTTATGGGTCATTTTTGTTGATCTGTCCCATTCATCCTTTCTCTGTACCATCACATCCTGGTCTGCCTTTGTTTTATCCCCCCATGGGATATCCTGATACTGAAGGTCAAAAAGAAAAGGTCTTGGATGAGATAGCCAGGACAGGTGCCGTCCCTTAGGTTTTCTAAGCAAAGAGCAAAAGAAAAGTTGAAGAGCTCTAGCAGTGGGGTCTAGCTGAGGGTATAAAAGAAGCTTTCATCCCTCAGTCCAGGGAGGGCGAAGAGGTGATGTCCTGTCATTATAGGTAATGTAGTAAAATAACTCTTCCAGTTTCCTTTCTCATGGGTTACAGCTTGCGACCTTTGGACCTGGAGTTCATGAAACATCTCAGCAAAGTAGTAAACATCATCCCTGTTATTGCCAAGGCAGACACCATGACCCTGGAAGAAAAGATTGAATTCAAGCAAAGGGTGAGTACCACCTCCTTCATGCAAAACATCTGCGGCAGAGCCTCCCTCTGTCCTTTTATGAAGGTGGAAGAGGTGGGATGTATTCCTTCTGCTGATCTCTGAGACACACTGGCTGCATCTACACATGCACTTTACTGTGGAGTAGACTAGCTGCAGAGTAAAGTGTAACCAACTACACATGCAGTGGTACTAGGCCACAGTAAATTAATTTACACTGATCAGAAACAGTACTATCTTACACTGGGATAATTTTACTGTGATTAAACACATATGTAGACACTGACCACGGGCATAAATTGTGTCTGGACAGCTCAGCCAGTAGGGTCCAGGCTCCTGCCTGCTGCCTAGCCAGATGACTGTGCACTTTCAGCACCCTTGTGCCCCAGCCAGCTCCTTGGCTGCCTAAAACCACCACGCAGAGCCTGGGGCTGACCCCCATGCCCCCTGCCAGCCTGGGCTTGCTCTGCCCCAGCTCAAATTGTTGCTGTCCTGGGTGCACGTGTAGACGCTGCACCTGGGATTAGTTTACTCCACCTCAAACTGCTCCAGAGTGTATTGTTTTGTATTAATTGCATGTGTAGATGCACCCATTGATACTTTCCTTCATGCTTCAGCACTCCAGCTGATGTCATAGGATCCAGTGCTGGAGTCATTGACTCAGACTTCAGTTATCCTGTAACTGTAACAAAACCTGATCATAGCTCTGTAGTGTGTTACAGTGTGGGGTGTGATGCTGTGTGGTAACTATGACAGTGCTTAGACGGCAGTGGATGGCCCAGGTCACTCAGACTTGTATGGGAAAAGCCAGCTTGGCTGTTGGAAAAATCACAGCAACACAGCTGTTTCCAAGGTACCGTGTGTCAGGGTTTCAGGGCTAGTTCAAAGCCAAAGTCTCCCTTAGCTGGGGCTAATGAGGTAAGAGCAGGCTGAGCTAGCCTTTTCTGCCATGCCTGGGGAAGCATGGGATTGGCTACTGGGAACTGCACCAAATATTGAATCCCTCTGTTGTCTGTAGGACTCAGGAAATACAACATGTAGTTCTCCTTGCTCCTGGTGCTGGCTGGTCTCTATCCACAGTGATGTTGGGGAAGGACCCTCCAAAGCACAACCTGACCACTTGCTCCCACTTGCACACACCAAACCTGGAAATGCAGCTGTGAAACTGCTCCATGGGTGCTCCTTGAAGCTACTTTCCAGCCTGCTAGTGGCAGAGGCTTTGAAAAAGCTAGGGGGTGGTGTGCATGACACTCACAGATTTCTGGATTTGGCATGTGCAAGTGGAAGCAAGTGGGTGAGGTGTACTCAGGAGCTGGGGACACAGTGTAGGCATTCCCTATGCTATTCTTGCTCCAGACATTTGCTTGTTTCCTTGGTGCTTGTTCTAGGTCCTGGTTTTCAGCTTGCCTTCTGGTTTGGACCTTTGATTTGCTCCTGGCCCTCAATATGGACCCAAATTAGTGGTCTGGAGTGCCCGTGCTGGGGCCGTTACACCCTGCACATGTTACAAGATGGTCATTTCAAGAATGTGCTTGTCCTTTAAATCAGTGGTGGCCAACCTGTGGCACAAGTGCCATGAACAACTTGGGCAGCCCTTGCGTGTCACCCAGCAGATCAGGAGAGGACAGGCAGCACAGCAGCCAGCAGGGCAGGAAGCAGAAAACAGAAGAGGAAATTAGTCAGGGAGTACAGAGCAGGGAGCGAAAAGCAGAGCAGATCATGCAGAAGAAAGGGATCAGAGTAGCACATGGGGAGGGCACAAGGCTAACTTGTGGCATGCCTGCCCAAAAGTTTGGCTCCCACTGCTTTAAATGAACCTTTGCAAAACACCAGCTAGCCATAGCAAACCTGTCCTAGGGAACCCCAACTCAGCTCTGACTAGGGTAAAGGAGAGTGTAGTGACCCACTCTGATCCCCTTCTGCTGACTTCTGTCATGTTACTAAGTTACTAATTCTTTGTGATCATAATGTATGTCTAGTAATTGGGTTAGGGCATAAACCCAGTGCACTGGTGGGGGGGAAGCACCCACATGTCCACTGTAGCAGGGATATTCTGTGCAGTGGGAGTATGCTCAGGGGGCCCATGGCCCTTTCTGGTGCAGCCTCTGTGGCACATGTCCCCCTCTGGTGTGACCCATGGGATGCGCAACCCCTGGCCTTTAAAAAGTTGGGCAGCCCTGATTTAATGCTTCTGTTGCTTTTCACTTTAAAACGTTTCCCTGGACAGGTGCGCAAAGAACTAGAGGTGAATGGGATCGAGTTTTACCCTCAGAAGGAGTTTGATGAGGACCTGGAGGATAAAACAGAGAATGACAAAATCAGGGTAGGATGTCCTTTGGCATGGCTGTGGGCTGGCAGGTATTGGAATTTATGGAGTTCAAACTAGTGACAGATCACTCCAGTTTCTAAAGTGCGAGCCAGGGGAAAACTGGCTGTGAATGTAAAGTATTCTCACTGATGCTTCACAACCAGCAGGGAGGATGGGTCATTTCATCTTTTGTTCTTTAATTTGCTTTGTCCCCATTTCTGTTATCACCATGGTGCACTGTGATGGCTGAGCTGACAGGGATATTTGCTCCCCTCCATCTTGCTTGAACACAGCTTTGGTTTGGGTTGGATGAAGGAAGAGAGGACTAGAAGGGACCTCATGGATCAGAGAGTCCAGTCTCCCCCCATTCCAGGAAACCATGTCATAATACCCTTTTCACAAACTGATCAAATCCATCTAAAAAGTAGCTAGTTTTATTGCCCTCCACTACCCCTTTCGGGTAACTGTTCCAGAACCTCACTGATCTGATGGTTCCAAAACCTCCTTCTAATTTCCGGCCTAATTTTTTGTAAGGGCCTTTTATACCCATTTATTCTTATGGCAACATTGTCCTTTACTTTAAATACCTTTACTTTAAATAGCTCTTTTTCTTCCCTGGTGTTATATCCCCCCACAATGCATTTAGAGAGAGCAGTCATAACCCTTCTCCACCTTCACTTTGCTAAGCTAAACAACCCAAGCTTTTTTAGATGTCTCTTTTACTATAAGGTCTTCATTCCCTCCCATCATCCAAGTAGTCATTCTTTACACTTCTTCCTGTTTGAATTCATTCTTGCTGAGTATGGGTGACTAGAGATGTACATGGTATTCCAGATGAGCTCTCATGGGGTGTCAGTGCTTCCACATCTCTCCTGTCAGTGGTGCCAAACTCATTTGGCCCTGTGAGCTGGAGGAGTGGTGCATGGCTAGTCCACAGGCTGAACAATTTGCAGGGCTGGTCCATGTGCTGGATTCAGAGTATGGGGCCATGTCATTTGTCTCCTAGGGCTGTCTGCAGGGCCAGAAATTTGGCAGCAGCAGTGTGAATCACCCTTGTTTCTAGAACTGCAGCAGGCACTACTCCTTCCACCACTGAATTTCCAGCCACTCAGGCAGTCTGGTGAGCCAGATGACACATCTCCATGCTCCAGATCTGGCTTGCAAGGCTCCCCAGAGGGGCAGAAACTAGGCAGTGGAATGAACAGTGGCAGTGTTAATGCCATCAAGTGCCTGCCTGGGGAGCCTGTGACCAAATTCTACATGTGGACAAGCTCTGAGTGCCTGTTGAATCTGGCTCCCCTGCCTGGCAGTTCAAAACAAAGTCCTCGTTAAACACTGCCAGCATTCTTTGTCCTGCAGGAGGCTTATTTTAGCACTGACATGATTTTACTCTTCATAGTCAGAGCAGGAGAATGAACTAGAACCACTCTGGTATTGTTAATAGTGCTCGTATTATTCCTATTTTGAGCTATCTCCTCCTCCTTCTGGCCAGGAACGATTCTGACAGACCTTAGGGAGGATGGAATACATCAAATTACTGCTATGAAGAACATGGGACCACCATGCAGTATAACACGTTATTACAGCTCCACATTCCTCATGCCTGCCATTCAGAAATGCTGGTTGTGCATGCAGACTGATCTAGAGAAGCACAGCACATGTCTACTGAATTCATGGAACCACTGACAGCATCTGCAGACTGAACTATAGAAATAGTAGGAACATCTGCAAACCCAAGGACTGAAATGCAGGGAAAATGGCTTGTTTTGAAAGGGACAGTCATTGGATGTTTCTGTGTAAGAGTTGGGTGATGGGGGAGGAGATGACTGAAAGAGTAGTAGCAGTGTCTACCACCTCGGTCTCATTACTGGTAAGTGTTCAGAGGAGTGGATTGATTACTTCTCTCCCCTGTCTCTCACCAGCAGGAAAGCATGCCATTTGCAGTGGTGGGCAGTGACAAGGAATACCAAGTGAATGGCAAAAGAGTCTTGGGAAGGAAAACACCCTGGGGAATCATTGAAGGTAAAAAGGTCCATCCTTTCATGTTCTTGCCTAGGCTTGCTAAACACCATCCGAAGGTCTTAATATATTTCCCAGCACTCCCCTTAGTGCCTACACTTCCATGGGTTTTTTAACCAACACAAAAAGGATTTTCAAATTACTCCCTTTAGAGAAGCTGTAGCTCCCAGTGCTCAGTCACTGACAGACGGGGTCCCGCTGTCCCTCTGGAACACTGATGCCAAGCAGGGACCCAGGAGGGCACCTCACTCCTCACAGGAAAGCATCCATACTGCTTCCTCCTATTTTTGATAACTGGCAAGCATGACAGCCTACTGGCAATCCACCTATACCACTCTACAGTTCCTGCCCTTGCACCCCAGTCTTAACAACCATGCCCTAAACTGTGCTAATGAAGGCTTTAAAAGGAAACAAACAAACAAACACTTTTTTTGTCTTTTCAGTGGAAAACCTTAATCACTGCGAATTTGCCCTCCTTCGAGACTTTGTCATAAGGTGAGGCCAGGGGTTATGCACTGGTTATTTCATGGTGAGGAATGCTTTTTATGCAATGAATTTACAGATAGAATTTCCTACAGGTGTGATCACCTTAGATGGAAATATTCTCTGAAGGAAGGAGTGACAGCATGTTCTTGGAGGCAGACAGAACAGGACTGAATACTACAAGGAAAAATCTAGGCTTAACTGATGGACAGCAGATCTTTAATCTGTGGGACCACTGTGCCAACAAGAAGCTAGCTGTAATCATAGCTTATGTGAAATAGCTGGCCTGTGTGGCAAGGGACTAAACTGGCATCTTCCCTGGGCCCCATGACACATGCAGCCGGAGAAAGCATATGAGACAGTAATTTCTGTCCCTCTAGGATTTTAGAAAAACCACAAGGAATATTCCTCAAAGCAAGAAACAGATCCTCTGCATGCCTCCTCAGGGCATGATGTTTTGGCATTTGTGTTCGTTGTGACACAATGTCATGACACGATAATGCTCTACTTTTCTGTCCATTATGGCAAAGTCCTCTGGGTGGTCAGAAACAGGTTAATGACTGACTGAGAGGTGTTCATCAAGGGAGGCGACTATTGATAGCAGGGCTACATGGGTTATGCTATCCATGTTGATCAGATGCATCCTGCAGAGATTTAATCTGCTTCTGAGGCATTACATTCTGGGCAAGGCAAGAAGTAGAATACAGGGCTTGAGGAACGAGTTGTCTGAACTGAGATGGCAGCACACCATGAGAGCTGACACCGTGACCACAGCTTTGAACTAGAGGTAGGATATTGGACTGGCAAGGCTAATGACCTGATCAGTGTGACTTATCCTGCCTGACCCTTTTCTTCAGTTGGATGGTGCCACTTTAGCTGATTAACACATTATGGCACCCATACAAAATGAATACCTGGGTTGTTAGCCAGCTTCAAGGGAAGACCCATCCCATTCAAGTTAGAAGATAAAATAGACCAGGAAGAGTAATTGTTGATACAAGACATGCTAACGTTTTCTTTCTTCACCCTCCTCCTGTCTATATCTTTCATCTCCTTATCTCATACAGGACCCACCTCCAAGACCTAAAAGAAGTGACACACAACATCCACTATGAGACTTACAGGGCCAAACGACTAAATGACAATGGGGGCCTCCCCCCAATGACCGTTGAGACAGAGGAAAACCATGAAAGTAACCCATGAATTACCCTCTTCTTGTCACTCACTGTCTCTGGATATTACCACCCACCCTGACTGCCCTTGTCTTTACTGTGGGCCTGTCTTTGAAGCATGTGGAACATCCTCTGTGTGTGTGTGTGTGTGTGTGCGCGCGCGCGTGTAAGGGGGATGGACAAAGAGCATTTCCTCTGTCCTCCCCAGAATGTGCTCCTTTCTGATTTTGCACAGCAGACTTTGTCACCTTTCTCTCTTTCCTGTACCATGGCTCAGTTATATGTCTTGGTTGTGGGAAGTCACAGAGAGAACTCTGGGAGGTGTAGTTTCTGGCGTTTGGGGTTCACTTTTTTGTCAGGAGCCCTGAGGGTCCTGTGCTTGCCCATATAAAAGCCATGGACTTACTGCAAGGACAGTGGAGTCCGTGTACCCAGTGTCTTCAAGATGGTGGTGGCAACCGTGAGCTTCATTCTGGGCAGAAGAGTAATTCCATGGTGGAGGTGAAGGGGGGTTTAATGGTCAGTCTGGGGGAAGTGATAAGTGGTGGTGTTGTATCCTCGCTTCTCATTGTGGCCATCGGAAGAGTTAGTTGTAAAAACATGGATGGGATGGAAAGAATATTATTGCCATGTTTTCCAGTCTGGCCACTGAATGGGAACATGTGGTGGTGGGAGGAAATAGCCAGTTAGATCAAGGACATTCAGATTTGATTTGAGAAGAATCCAAGTACGTTGAGGAACAGGAATATTTTCTAAGGAGCAAACCCCTGTAAACCATGCTGGAAAGAATCCATTTTTAAAAACATTTTAAAATCTATTTCCATGTGACGCCCAAAAGCTGCCTTTGATTGTCACATAGTCTCGATCGTGCCTAGCCTCTGGCTTGTTCTGCTGTGATTACCCTCTTTGGGCTGTTACAGCAGCCAAGAACAGTTGGAGTGCAGCATGTTCTGGTCCTGCTTGTCCCTTCCTTAGTGGATTCTTATGGTGAGAGGAGTCAGGAAGCTACTCTGTGCCAAGCAATAAGCTTCTACTTCGCTGGGAGTATTTTCTGGGGACAAGTCCTGTCTATTATCCAGCCTCCATGCTATCAGAGGAGCACTCATAGATTGCAGAGGAAAAGAGCAGAGGGTTAAAGTGTTTCTGCCTTTGATCTCTTGCATTGGAACCCAAGAGATACTTTCTGTTTGTGAAAGCATTTCATGTTTGCCACCCAGAGGTCCTGCTCTCTCTGCAGCTCCTTCCATCCTTGTTGTCCTTTACCCATATTTTTCTGCTTTTCTGTCTTTCTCCTATGTTTGCTCTCCTCCTCTCTCTCATCTCCCTCTCTCTTCTTTCTTTCCCCTCATTCTTTCTGTCCTCTCTCTTCTGTGCCTCCCCCTTACTTTCCCAAACTGCTTTAGTTCTCGTTTCTCTCAATCTCTTCTCACATTACCTTACTTCCTATTTGGCTGCCTATTGTTCTTCTGTAGCTGATATCTCCCAAAAGATCTTGTATGTATTACTGGTGCGAGTTCATTACATGACATCTGAAAGCTATTGTTTTACTTTCCTATCACAGGAGTGGGGTGGGGGAGAAGATAAAAGCAATGAATATTAATTGAGGGACAAATACTGAGGCCTTTACTAAGGACCAGATTGTGGCATTTAGCCACTGGCCAAAGGTAGACGTGTAACAAATCAGCCAGGTGCCTGGGGCAGTAGGATGCCTGGGGACAGAGATGACTTCTAGCTGCTGCTGTGGTGCCAGCATGGTGCCAACTGATATTTTTCTTCCCCTTACAAATCAGCACCTAAGGTAACTCCCCAAGTTGCCCCGACCTAGTAGTTACACTACTGGCCAAAGAACTGCTAATGAATTCACTGCCCCAGTGGGCAGGGGGACTGTGCAGGCTCCACTATTTCCTCAGATACTTCTACTTGCCCATCAGTCCTTGCCACACCCCACTAGGTACCTGCTGAGACTGTTAGAGCAGGGGTTCCTGCTCTAACAGAAACAGTTCCTGATCCCGGGATCAATAGAGCACTGACAATCAACAGATTCTCTTATGGACCACTGTGCACCAATTTCTCATTAGAAACCCTCTGAAGGTGCATGGGGGCTGGTGTGATCTCTGGGCTGTTGTCATGGCCTCATGAAAGCCCAGCAATCCATGGATCCTGGCCTGGGGACCATGCGTTAAAACATTCATAGAGGAAGAAGAGGATGTGTAAAGGAGTACTGGTGGGAAGGGAAAAGGAGTTCTGTAAAGGAGAGGAACCCACTTTCCCAGGACTAGAATAAGTTCCCATATGACAGCAGTTCTCAGTTCTCTTATGGAGCAGTATGGCATCCCTTTTTATGCTGTAAAGGCTAGTGCTTTTAGGGAAGGGAGGTGAGAAAAAATAGACACTACCATCAGCTGCTCCATCTACTCCCTAGACTGGCCAGGACCATTTTGTTTGGGGTTGTGTTTTCTGGACCCACTGCCCTGAGGGAGCGAAGACTGTGGATATCTTGTGACCTTCCAGACAGATACCCTGGGGAACCTCCTACTGGAATCTTCCACTGACATGCCACGTGACCACTGGCATCCATTGCCTTGGGATCCTTTGGGATGAAAGACGGATGTCATAGGAATGTAAAATTGTTCTCTTTCTTATTTAATTTATGAAGAAATGCATTTTTATTTTTCATTCCAGGCTCCCTTGCATTAGTTATCGTCCTCCCTAGTCCTCCCCAGGCTCAGCCATTTTTATTATCTTTCTTCATATGCCAAACAAATGCAGAGGTTTAAGAGAAGGTTAGAAAAAATAACACTTGACTGGGATACTTTGGTCAGAAATTATCCTGTCTTGAGCAGAACTAGACAGAGTTGGACTAGAAGATTTCCTGAGGTCTCTGCCAGCCCTAATTTTCTATTATTAGTTTTCCCACAGCTTCCACACATGAATAGCTGTATTGGTTTTCCTCTCTTATCTTCAGGGAGATGACCTGGTTTATGATGTAGGGGCTGATCTTCTCAGCACTGAGACCAAGCCATGGGTTAAGAGTATATTTGATCATCAAGAGGTTATATGGTTTCTTTAACACCAATGCCTCTATATTCTAATACTTCTTTTCTACTACCACCTAACACTTTATAGTCTACCAATGGAGGGCTAGCATTGTTTCTTCTATTCAGTATCAAAAACAGTCATTTGGAATGCAGCAAGAATGAGAGGAAAATGCAAAAGAAGTGATGCAGTCAATCAAACTGATGTAAATTACAAGTGCAATGAGTTTAGGAATCTCTGTCTTATCCCAGGAGGATACACATCATATATCTGACAATCATCCCTTACTGCTCAAATAGCAGTAGGTCACACCTGAGGAGGATTAACGGAGCAGTGTGGGTCATCTAGCTCTGCGACAAGCAGGAAATGTTGTGTGTCAAGATTGAGGTGCTTTGGAAGAGCTGTGTATGAGGGTGCCAGCAACTGAATAAGCAGAGCATGTTGTGGATTAAGACTGAGACATACTGACAGAACTGTATGGAGCCCAGGACTGGAAAAGCAGCGAGCAATTGAAGTGCTGTTCATTAGCAGAGCTGTGTAAGGGAATCTTGCATGGTGTCTGCCTATGGCTTTAGCTAGTGCCATCACTGCAGGGCAAAGGTCTCTTTAGCACGTCTTTTGTCTATCCAAGCAAATCAGTCATTCTGAGCATCACTGGTGTGTGAAGGTCTCAATAATACAGTCCTGTCCTCCCATCCACTTCTGTAACTCTTAGTACTAATGCAGTTCTTGCATCCATACCAGATATTCTTGGACAGGATATGGGACAAAAGCCTCTTTGGCAGGGGCAGACAATTATTTTGGGCAGAAGGCCGCTTACTGAGTTTTGGCAAGCCATCGAGGGCCACATGACAAACAGCTAGGGGAAGATTAATATTAATTTTCTAAACATTTTAGGGGCCCTGCGGGCTGGATAGAATGTCCTGGCAGGCTGCATCCAGCCCACAGGCTGCATTTTGCCCACCCCTGCTCTTCGGTGTGCTGCAAGCTTCCATGTCA